AGACTTTCGATGGAGTTTTTAATCTCCTGGAAATCTGTTTGCATCTGTTTTATGGATTCCATTTGTTTCCTATGTTGGGATTTCATCATGTTCCTCAGATCCTCTATTTTTATATCTGTGTCCTCTCTAGATTTATTCATCATGTCTTGCACCATGAGCAAAATTTTTGCTGTTGTCTGAGTAATTATTTCTGATTTCATTTTTCCCAGATCCTCTTTTGTTGCCAGTTCAGAGTCCAGGTGGTTGAGTATCAGACTGTTCCATCTTGTTTCCCTTTGGGGTTGCTACAGGTGATCCAGTCTGTTTTTGAGGCTTGTTTACGTGTCTTCTCATTTCCATGGGGGGTGGGGTGGGGGTGGGGTGCTTCTGGTGCCCATGCAGCTCAGCTTCTCTGCCCTAGGAGCTCGGGATGGCGGTGGGGGAGCTTGCTTCCGGGTGCTGGGACTGGCTCAGCTTCTCTGCCCTAGGAGCTTGGGATGGCGGCAGGGGAGCTTCCTTCCAGGTGCTGGGACCAGCTCAGCTTCTCTGGTTTAGGAGCTTGGGATGGCGGCGGGGGAGCTTGCTTCCAGGTGCTGGGACTGGCTCAGCTTCTCTGCCCTAGGAGCTTGGGATGGTGGCCAGATATTTTAATTTTTAGTATTTTAATTTTTTTGTACCTTGCACCAAAGAAGGAGGGTAATTACAATTCAGGCTCTTGAAAAAGTGTTCATCCCATTTGTAAGCCTTGCCTGATTTAAAGCTTGGCCATGGGTTTTGCAACTTTTACTGAGGCAAAGACATACTTTGCTCTCCATTCCTGAACAAAAATGAAGTAAATAACATCAATTAAGTTGTGAAATTTTGTAATTATTTTATAACGTTTTTTGGTAATTATCTTAAAAATCAGCCTCTCATAAGAGTGGGTACATGGCACATAATCCAAGCCATACCAATGGGATTCCTCTCGCATATGAGGCACAGCATCTGGAGCCAATCTCTATTCTGATCATGAGCTCTAAAGGCATGACTTCAATGACGTTGGCACTATGTCCCACATCACTGGGAAGAGTGTAAGGATGATCAATGCAGAAGCAGAAATAAACAAATTGGATGGGAGTGGGTGTGGGAGTGAGAGGGAAAGCTACTTGAGTGCATGGCTTCAACCATCTCTATTTCCCAAAGCCTGTAAGTTATAAGCCAATAAACCTCCCTTTTACTGCCTAAGAAAGTTTGAGTTGGTTTTCTTTCACTTACATCTGACTAATAAATACATCCTTTTCTTTCTTTTTTGTACTGGGGATTGAACTCAGGACCTTGCGCTTGTGAGGCCGGCGAGGAGACACTGAGCTACATCCCCAGCCCCAATATATCCTTTTCAATGTAGGGATGTGACCATCAATTGTGACTGTCAACTTGGTTGGATTAAGCGATGCAAGCAGAGTAGTAAAGTACACTTCTGGCTGTGTCTAGGTGGAGGCATGCTTTAAAGGGTTTATCTCTTGCGGGCGCTGTTTGCTTGCTCTGCTTCCCAGGCACAATGAACTAAGCAGCTTTGCTCTACCATGCTCTTCTGCCATATTTCTGCTTTGAACCCTGGCAGCCATGGACTGAAACCTCTGAAACCTGAGTCAAATAAATCTCTCCTTGGGCTGGGGATTTAGCTCAGTGGTTTTGCCGCCTGCTGTGCAACCTCAAGGACCTGAGTTCAATCCCTGATACCAAAAAAAAAATACACACACACACACACACACACACACACACACACATATATATATATATATATCCTTGAGAATACAGGGTTTTTTGTTTGTTGGTTGGTTTTGTTTTTTTTGGTACTGGAGATCAAGCTCGGGACCTTGCGCTTCCGAGGCAGGTGGTAGAACCACTGAGCTAAACCCCTGGCCCCTGAGAATACAGTTTTAAAAATACCATCTTCTAGAAATTGTTATATATTTTTATATAAATAAGATTTAACCAGGCAAGTAGTCACCTATACATTACTGCTTATTTCGTTTTAGAATGTCTCCTTTTTTCAAGAACTTTTTGTTTTACTCTCTAGCTTGTTTTTCAGAAATTTCTAATTTTATAATAATAATAGCAAATCTATTTACATATTATGTCAATCTTTTAAATCCTTGCTATATTTACTGTTAAAAGGCTGAAATACTAGAAATAATTATATCTTTATGCTTCTCACATATCACTTCTTTATATATCAATATATTTATCCTCACATATATAAATATGTATCAATATATTTAGCCTGAAGAGTTTGATGTGATTATAGGGTTATTAATGACTCTGCCTCAGTCCTTCCAAACTTCTTGCCTTTGTTTTTGATCCTACCACTTTATTGGGAAGGAAAAATTTCTTTTTATTTTAATTGCTTATTCCCTACATTGAATCAGGAAATCTTCTTGCAAAAAAAAAAAAATGCACCTGAAATACATCAGGCAGTAGTGAGAAAGTATCATTCAATGATTCTGAAGTTTTTTTTTAAAGAGAAAGGCCAGGTGTGGTGGTGCATGCCTGTGAGCCCAGCACTCAGAAGGCTGACAAAGGAGGATCCCAGTATGTTCAGGCTAGCCTGGGTTACATAATGAGTTCAAGGCCAGTCTGAACCCTGTCTCCAAAATAGAGAGAAAGAAAGAGAAAGAGAGAAGGATCTGAGAAGATCCAGCCACTGGATCCCTAACATATGTCATTAAACTGAGACTTGGGCGACTTGAAGGATTAGCTGGGCAGAGAGGTAGAGGAAAGGGAGAACACAGTTTAGATATAAGGGTGGAGGTGTGAGGGTTACGTTTTTTCCTTCTTTCTCTCTCTCCAGATATATAAACTTCAGGAAAAAGACAGTATTTAAATATACTTAAAAGTCATGCAGTTTTATTTTAAAAAACATTTCAAAATTATGATAAATGAAATGCATTTGCAATGAGTAGTTTTTTTTTAAGTAGGGGTAATCCTTTATCAAACTGTGTTTCAGTCCACGAACTCAGTTTAATTATTTAACCCTTCATATTAAAATCTTGTCACAGTATTGACTTTGGCTTTAAAAATCATTATATAAAAATAATGACCAAAGTCAATATTCAGAGGAGTACCCAGTTAACAAACTACATTAGACTTTAATTCTTAAAAAAATGGGAACTTGTGCCAAAAACTCAATTTTTAAGTTATATACAATTTTAAAACTAAAAAAATACCCAAAATCCAATTATGATCATATAGCTAAGTCCATATATTTTACAGATGAGGCAATCAATGATGCTGGAAAACAGTCAAAGTAACAAATACTTGTCATCACAGGATAGATAGTGAAGTTGAAACAGTACTACCAAACAGGTCTAATTCTAGCCTGCCAAGTAACTTAAACAGAGTGAGTTACCTTACTAGAATTAAGTAATTGAGAGCATAATCAATATACCACCTTGAGAGACTTCAACATAGACTATGCATCATCAGGACAGAGCCCAGAATTCCTTCTCAATCAGCTCTCCCTTTCCATTGCCTACCCTCAAAGATGGCTCTGAATACCACACAGACTGACACCTGTTTGGTGAAAACTAGAATGAGGAGAATTATTGTTGAATGACACAAAAGTAGAGCCTGCTTCTGAAAGACTTGACCAAGCCAGTTAAATATCAGTGCCATGCCCTTGTGTAGTATAATGTGGTGTGCAGTACAATACGTCCTAAGATTTAGCATAATGCATTCTATTCTATAAAATGTGTAGTATATGCATTCTGAGGATGAATGGAATTTACTTCACAGAGTTG